TTATAGTTACGAAGAATCAGTAATATAATTTGATTTAATTTACTTAGTGAAGAATAATCGAATTTACACATGCATACGTGATTGTATTGGTCCTGCGTGGTATCACACGTTGCGCAGCTATCCTAATTTGTTATCTGTAAGCAATTAAAAATTAAAGTATATTTTATTATAAGGTATTACAAATAAATATTACTATATAAGTATTTTATTTATTTAATATTAATTTAGGGGCAATAAATAGTCAAGAATATAAATCAATGAAATCAACACCATATTGGCTTGTATTTAAACAAGATCCACAAGCTGAATAACCAATGATTTCGATACTTTATCAACAAAACATTGTGTATAAAGATGATATTCTATTAGAAAATTAATCAACTTTAATTAATCATATAACTTTAAGTAAACAATTAACTTTAGTCAATTATTCACCTTTAAATAATCAATTAGATTTAATTAATCTTATAAATGATGATTATAATAATCATAAATATATTTATAATAAATAATGATAATTCTTGATTTATATTAATATTAACATATTTTATTTTTTATTTATATTATTTAGATCAAGGTTCTCCACTAATTAAAAATATCGAAGTAATTGTAATTGATAATAGCAACGAAAAAAATTTAGAGTCTGATGATGAAAATATTATATTACAACAATATTTTTGGAAAGCAAAAGAAAAATAGTCATCAGACTCTTATAATTGTGATAGTATAAATTTAGAACAAGTAATATATAATTTATATTTTAATTTATTAATATTTTTAATTTATTTATCTCTTTTCTCAATATATATTATAACTATATAATTATTTTTTTAGAATTCACTATATCAATTTGATACTACAGACTTTGAGAATAATCATGATGATACAATATTAAAAAGTATATTATTTTTTAAACAAGCTATGCAGACACATTATATGAAGAAATGTCACCAAGTGATATACAATTGCATCTCAAGCAAGTTATTCAACAAGTGAAAATTCAATCTGAGCAAATTATTCATCAAGTGAAAATTCAACCCGAGCAAGTTTTAATTACCACAAACCTTTAAGAGATGTAGCAATTCAACATGTTAAGAAAAATTATTAATTTATTAGCAGTATAATGGAAAAACATTATAAAACAAAATGCATATTAATTTTAAATTCAGGTTATCTTGTGAAGATTCGAATACCGTATTCTTCCAAAAATAAGCTACCTCCAAAAGAAGCTACCCCCCTTTTCTCTTGGAGGAAAAACATGAACACCTTTATTCCGAAAATAAGCTACTTCTATAATTTTTTATTAGTCGCAAGTAGTTTCTATATATAGAAGTCAAAATTTTACTAAATTAATCGATATATATCGCTTAATATGGATTGTTCAGGAGGTAAAAACACACATATCCTGAAAGTTTCATGCAAATTAGAGAACTTTTTATTAATACGTTTTTGCATTTTACGATTGAACGTAAAATGCAAAAATGTATTAATAAAAACTTCTCCGATTTGCATAAAACTTTCAGGATTTGTGTAGTTTTACCTCCTGAATAATCCGTATTAAGCGATATATATCGATTTACTTAGTAAAATCTTGACTTTAATATATAGAAACTACTTGCGACTAATAAAAAATTAATAAAAATCAACTTTATCCCAAAAATAAGCTACCCCCATGATTTTTGTGTAACTTTTTTGCTAA